TTGTGACGTGTTCTGACTTGATCATTAGACAAAACCGTGACATCTGGCCTTGGCCTTCGTTGGGCTTTGAATGGACCTATCATGACCAACACTCTTGGGGGAGGTGGAGACTTCAATCATTTCATCGATCACCTGGGGCCGGCGTTCAAAACATGGTTGGTTGACATGCACCAGCATAAATTTGAGATCGATTCTCAAGATGTCGACGTTCTGAAAAAGAGAGTGAATGAGTGGGTATCGCACGTCGACTTGAAAGAGGTTGAAGAAAGCCGGAATGAACTTTTGATTGGCTTGATCAAGAGCAAATCAGAGAGTTCCCAAGGGTTATGAAGATTGGGCTATTTAGATTACAGGTAACGGCCTTTATTTGAATGCGATGTCCTTCATGTCCGGTATATATCTTGATCAATGCCGGTAGTAGTTGCAGGAAGCAGGAGCACGTCTCGGGAGAGGCAAGTGCTATTGACACGTGATTGTCCTTCCAATAGTCCCCAAATGACACGCAAAAAATCTGTTCGCAAATATCCCTTTGATCTTGTGTAAAGATAATTTCGATATGAAATGATCAAATATCTATAGCATTTAGGGATTTTAACCAATTCTCATGCGAAGTACACCGGGAACGCCTCGGCCGACCGCCCGCCAAACGCCGATAGCCCCGGGGATTGAAACGTCAACCCTTCATTCTACCATTTCTAAGCATGACTCCAACGAGATCAACGAAAACAAGTGGTCTAGCCTCACTGGCCTGTACTGAATGCAGAAAGCAGCATCTCAAATGTGACGCCGGTAAACCATCATGTTCGCGGTGTGTTCAAAATGGATTACTCTGTCAATATCTACCCTCCCGACGGGGCGGACGCAGGAAATCACGACTTGAGAGTCCATACCAACGCCACCCGCAAACCCATGTCAATGTCAGTCCTGTTTATTCTGCTTGATAGTTTTTTTTTTACTAAATTAATCATAGACTCGATATCAATCTACGGTTCCTGTTCTGCCAATAGCCCCTGCACAGACACCAGAGAATCCCTCGGCGCAAGCAGGCAGGCAGGCAGGGCTCGATATTACCACTGAGCCGGTCTCTTGGCCAGTGATGCTTTCAGACAATGCTCCTGTTCAGCAAACTGTGGGGTCAGCAAGAAAATTGTCGCTCCATGACGATCGCCTGCCTCGGTTATATTATGAAAATTTTCATGTCGCCCATCCAATCTTGGTGCCCAGCTCCTTGTATCACGACCACAATTACCCTCACTTCTTACAGTTAACTGTGCATTTTGTGGGCTCTCACTATATTACGTCTATTCCGAGTCAGCCATACAAAGAACAAGTCGTTGCTGAGTTAAAGACAAACCCTGATCGGTCGGCTTCCATGGTCCAGGCTTGGCTACTATACTCCATTGCTCTGTATGCCCGCGATGAATGGGATGAGGCGCAAGATGCCCTCTCCCATAGCATTGATATTGCTTTGGAGCTTGGCATGAACCGTTGGTCATTCGCTTTATCCACAAACCCCGAAAGATCTCTTGAGGCCGAAAGCATGAGACGAACATGGTGGGAACTATACGTCACCGATATCTTCATGGCGGTCCCACTCAAAACCACGACATTTCGATGTAGCACCGTGTCACCGGAGGTGGCATTGCCCTGCGAAGAGTCAGCCTATAATTGTGCGGGTGATATCCCAAAACCACGTATGATGATTGAGTTCAAACGGAGGATCCTCGCGGCAGAGGATACTGTCTTTTCATCCTTCAGCTACCGCATCGAGGCCACGACAATACTATGCCGGGTTCTTGTCCTGAACCGATTACGCGACTGTCACCGCGATCATCTCCAAGCTGTCGAAAATGCACTAGTGAGCTGGATCAACCACCTACCGCCCAAAAAGCTCGACATTGTTGATTCATACGGCAATGTTGACGAAATGATGTTTCAAGCGCATTTGACAATAGCCTACGCCGCCATGCTCCTACACTTACCCCGAAGCGACCTTCCATCTGTATTGTCCCACTCCCAACCAGATGATCGCTTCTGGCCTGGCCTGACTGGCCAGCTCTCATCAACATTCACGCGTCTAGTACATAGTATCAAAGCAACAGAGGCCTCGAGGCGGATCTCAGATTCCATATCTGTTTGTCCAAATGTCTCGAAGCACACCCCCTTCAGCATCCCCGCCTTAACCCTCTGTGGACTTATCCAGCTCGCCACGTCCACCAGTCATTCCGAGGAGTGTTTCGATCATCACTGCAACCGTGTCACACTCATTCTAGGCTGTCTCAAGAGCACCCAGCGGACATGGAAATTGGCCGAGTCCTTATACCATGCTCTTCGATCTTCTGCAGCGGAAATCTTATCGGATTCGATGGGAAAATGGAATTCAGAACCACTACATCGACCCACCCCGGCAGCCACAACGCCTAATGACCAAGAAAGACCCAGCTCTAGTGGCAATCCTCCTCCAGCTATGCCAGACGGACATGATTTCATGCCGCCGGAGTTTTCCCTGGGATTCATCGATCCAACTTGTTACAATACTTCGTTTTTCAGCGCTATCCCTGACTTTGATATTAATTAGATCGGTTATACCCGGGAGCCAGTAATAAAGAACTTATTACAGCCGATGTCATTTTGCCTAACGGTTTCTGGGGTAAACGTCAGCTGGCCTCGTCATGTAGAAGGTTGCGCATTAGATCTCGGCCTTAATTAAGTAAATGCCAAGGACACGTAATATGATAGGGGTTCAAACATGAATCCTTCGATAATGCCGTAGACATGTCAAACGCCGATTGGGCTTTTTCGTTGAGTCGCCGACTGAGCTGCCGATCGCAGATATCTGATTGGCCCGTTGAACTCCACCCGGTGTTCCAGTCGGGAGCCACGCATAGCACCCCATCATGTGCGACAACTAGTTCGTGTTCGTTCTACAGTCCAAGGTCCGATTGTACGGTGTATAATCTCATGTGCTTTTCACTCACACAATGATACGTCGGGAGATAAGGCCAGAATACTCACCGACTATTCCTCTGTTGGGTCTCTCGTGATAGAGTCCGGCGATAACCGTGATAACCATCTGTGTATTCACATTCACGCAGTTAATGACATAGGGATCTACTTCATGCTTAACTCGTTCGCCGATACGTTGGTGTACATGCCGGGCTACGACTCTTACATCATAAATCACACGAGAGTACTGGGTGGTTGAACTGCAGCTATTGCGTTGGATGTTCTCGTTATGGCGTTATACGTGTTTAGTGTTCTCCCATCAATGGTCTTTTGGATTGGAACTTGGAACCGTGAGAGAGATTAGAGATATTTAATCAAAATCTTGAGAGTTTGTCTGAAAAATATCTAGATTGTTTGAAGTTCTATTCAATTCTTGTAGTGTAATGTGTGTGAACAGAGCCGGATTTTACAGATTCTATCATTCTTAGCACCTCCTTTTTCAGCACCTCCTTTTTGTCAACATAGCCTACTAATCTAGAAGCACATGTTCAGACCTTTGGGACTATCAGGCTAGATTGTAATCGGTCTGGGACGCTGGAATGCGAGACATTGGATCAATCGCCGATTGAGATCTGATCGCACGGGGGACAGGGGAAACAGATATGAATTATTCATATAACTCATCCATGAATCCTCTTCATAACTTCTCATTACCTTCCAAGAATATCTATCACCTTTGAACATCAAAATCTCCGCCATGTCCGCTGTCATTCCCTTAATCCCGCTTGGCACCAGCTCATCACTAGGCAACAAGCACTACAAACCTCAATACAGCCTCGATGATCTCATACAAGACATCAAGATCTACCTAGGCGAGAGCGGCGGTATTTCATCGGTAGACGTGGACAATGAATACCTGATCTCGCTGGCGCAGAAATATACCTCTGATCCGAACGACTGGGCCCGCTTTTTCTACAACGATACCAGCAAGAATTATACCCGCAATGCCATTGAGAACATAAACCAGAAAGCAAATATTGTGAGTTCTATTCTAATCCTATTTAGATACTGTCAACGAGAAAGAATTAGAGACTAACCCCTTCCAGCTCCTCCTTGTATGGAACCCCGGGAAAGGCTCCCCCGTCCACGACCACGCCAATGCACACTGCATCATGAAGATCTTAGCTGGGACGCTTCAAGAGACTATCTACACCGTCCCAGCTCAGGACTCTGATCTTCGTGGTCCGTTGGAGATCAAGTCTGATACGAGGCATACCATGAATGACGTCGCTTATATCTCGGATGATATCGGGCTACACCGTGTTCATAACCCGAGTGCTGACCAAGTTGCCGTCTCGCTTCACTGTAAGTGCTGAGTATGAGATAGAAATAGGAACAAAATATTGACGAGCCTTTTAGTATATACCCCGCCTAATGCTGCCGACTATGGGTACAATATTTACAACGAAGTGACAGGCAAGGCGAGCTTTGTACAACAGGCTCAAGCTGTTCCTCAGAAAGAATGAGGACATCAGAGACGAGATAAGATCATTGCCTGGTTTTATTTGTTGTCTTTCTCTTTTCTCTGTTTTTTTGCATGCGCCGTTAGCCTCTCAGATATCCATTTTGCTCGGCGCTGGCGCCGAGGCTATTTCGTTGATCTACTCAAGATTATGAAGTCATTTAAATATGCCCCAAACAAATTGATCAAATTTCTAATACGTGGCGAAATTACTGCGAGTTGATTTCAATGGCGTCGTTTCATCCTGGACTAAAGATGTAGCCCCAACTTCCCATTGGGTTCCGGAAAAGGCCGAACTATATAAGAGTATGGAGTATTCAGTTGTAGATCATATGAGGCTCCCAGTCTGCTGGGTATAGAATCATAGATTGTCATGTCGGTGGCCGGGACTCATTACGGGTTTTGCGGGTTTTGGACGGGCCTCGGGTTTTAGGCTCGGGTTAGAAGTAAACCACCTCAATTTGAGAGTACTATATTAACCCAGTTGATATAGGCCCAATGCAATGAATGATTCAAATATTTAGTTTTCACCATGTTCAAAACTCGTTTCCCCCAGTCCATAACAGCAAAATCAGCCTCGGCTGCCACTTTACTAGGCATCGGGGCTTACTGTGCCCAATCGCGTCTTATATCAACTGCCAATGCGGAGTCAAATGAACCTCCCAAAGTCTTTTCAGGATTCGGATTTACCACCTTACGCCTGCAAAGCACGAAAGATGTAAACCACAACACGAAACGGCTCGTCTTCGAGTTTCCAGATCAGAAGGCCACAAGCGGATTGGCATTAACTTGTATGGACCCGAATTATGATCAACGTTCTATAACAGCTTATTATATACTAACATACTGCAGCGGCACTCCTCACCATATCCCGTCCCGAAGGACGCTGGTTCCCCGTACTACGCCCATATACACCCATCAGCGATCTAAGTACGAGCAATAAACCCAAGCCCGGCCTAACAATAGACTAACAAAAGAGAAAAATAGACCAAGAAGGCCAGATCGAGCTCATGGTCAAGAAATACCCAAACGGCAAAGCAAGCAGCCACATCCATTCCCTTGCACCAGGAGACACCCTCACATTCGCAGCGGCACTCAAAGGCCACGCCTGGACACCGAACCGATCCCCGCAGATCTATCTCATAGCAGGTGGAGCAGGTATTACACCAATCTACCAGCTGGCGCAGGGTATTCTCAATAATCCAGCCGACAAAACTAAGATCAACCTCGTCTTCGGCGTCAATACCGAGCAGGACCTGCTTCTGCGAGAAGAGCTGGAGAGCTTCAAGGCGCGTTTTCCGGGTCGCTTTGATTATGTCTATGCAGTTAGTCACCCGAAGGGGCAGAGTGATGGGTTCAGGACGGGATATATTACCGAGGAGCTGTTGCGCGACGTTGTAAGGGCCGATGGCGATGCGAAGGTCTTTGTTTGTGGGCCTCCTGCTATGGAGGATTCGTTGGTTGGATCGCGATGCCAAACAGGTATTTTGGCTCGGCTTGGCTTTGCAAAGGGTCAGATTGTTAAGTTTTAATTCATTGATCTTCGTGTTCCATATATTCAATGTATTATAGTTCATATACAGGGCCTAGGTTCATGCTTTGCGCTTGACAGTTAACTAGCATATAGAACAAAAACACTCATAAATCCTAGGAGAGAACAAAGAAAACTATCTACCACAGAATAATCATTCCACTTCGACAATTGGTAGTTCAGAGAGAGTGACCGCCCGAGATATATAGTTCGCATGCTCCGTACCAGAGCAAGTCTCATTCCCTCTTCTACTTCGTAGAGAAAAAGTATTTAATCCGCCCTGGGTAAACCTAATCTAATCTATCTATTCCGGCATAAATATCTACGGATTAAACGCAACGCCACATAGATCCGTTATATCCGCGCCAGTGCAAACGGTGACGCGGCCTCCCGATTTAGGGACATTTCGTCGTCAGCGTCAGCCTCATGCCGCGCTAATTGTTTCATTTATCGACTCTTCTCCCTGATTGAATTGTATAACTCCGTGCGAACCGATCCGATGTTATTTCCATCGTCTGCTCCACCGCCACATTTCCCGTTCTTCCCGAGGGAAAAAAAGTCGCAAATGTGGACGAATATGTAACTGTGGCGTAGAAATTGGACAGAACGGGGCATCAGGATGATATGTTCTAAATTTGAGGTTCACATTATATACAGAGACATGGATTCCGTCAAGCGAAATGAATCCCGGGTTGTCATATTACATAGAATGAGAAGGAAAATGTACAGAGGTCAGCTTGGGTCCCCAAGGAAAACAGGATCTAAACAATCAAAGATATGCAAAAACGTCACTCAAGCGCAGCCTGATGGTAGATATATAGAAAGAACGCAATCAAAATAACGCCAGATGGGGGTATGATATGCATGAAACGATCGTGGCCAGAATGGTGTATACCAAATGGCCGCAGCTAACCTCTCCTTTTTTTTTTTCTTTTTCTGTTCCTTTCGCTTCCTCGTGAGTGCAAATTTGCAAGCTCGGTTTGGTGATTCGAAACTCTGCAATTGCAAAACGGGGCAAGATGTAGTGCTAACAATGCAAGATTGAAAGTTAACAAATGTCAATATTCAAGACTGCGGGTTGGAAGTGAGACGGATTTCTTCCACGGGGAGACCCTCCTCAAAGGGGACGTGCTGGTAGCGGCCGAAATGACCGGCGCGGACATGTCGCCAGAGGGCGAATCCAGTTCCACCCAAAGCGCCAGCTAAAAGGATGAAGATGAGGAGAGCGCCGACTCCGCGGATGACCTCGTAAGCCTTGTAGACAGCCTTGGCGACCTCCTTCGCATCGGCGTATTGGGCGCTTGAATGATCGCCGGAGACGGTGGAGGTGCTGTCGTTGACCAATTCGGCTGCTTCGCCGCCGGTGCTCTCAGCGGTAGACGTCGAATCCGTGTGAGCGTTGGCAGCGACAATGATTGACGGGTCATCATAAGTAGGACCAGAGTCAGAACCGACCCAGCCAGCCGCTTTCCAGTCGGATGGGGATTGAGTGCGCATGATCTCGGAAGTGTGCATGACATTGCCCTCGGCATCGATGGCCTCCGCGGAAACAAAATCCATATAGCCATCGGCGATGAACATGGTCTCGAAGTCGGTTTTGTTGATAGTGCCGATGAGCACGGGCTGGCCGCGGTCGTAGGCCTGCGCGTAGAACTTCCACTGGACGACGTCCGTCGCGCCGTTCCAGCTGACGTGAATGATGGTCGTCATATCCTCATCGTGGGTACCGTAGACGGATGCGACTAGATCGGGAGGCGCGGTGGGTCGACCAGTGAATTCGCCTTTGTAAGAGCGGTAAGTTGAGTATCGGTCTGATGCAAACCTGGCGGTCATTAGAAGTTCGCCGTTTGATGCGTGCTCGCTCGAGTAACCGCGCTCGCTCCACCCGATAAAGACGTTGCCGTTAGGAAGGGGGCGAGCGCTACCACGGAGTCGGGTGAGGCCACTATCGGGGCGGTTGATTCGCTTAATCAACTTGGCCGTCATAGGGATAACACTTGTGTCTAGCTCAACAAATAAAACGGAGGAGACCCTCTCGTCGGAGCCACGTTCGTCGGAGGCATTGTTTAGGAATGAGATAACGTGGCGAGTGCCGTTCGATGAGACAAACTTGACATCATGCTGCTTGGAGAAGGTGAAGTCCTGCTCGAAGTCGCTCTCTTGTCCACCCAAGCGCCACACGATGTTTCCATCTTGGCCAGAAATCAAGTAAATGGTATCTGTGAAGCGCAATGAGATTAGGTAGTCACCGGCCTTGTTCTTGTCGACCGCATTGATATGTACGTAATCCCAACCGGGCGATCCAGCTGGGTGATCCGAGGCATGGAACATGTTCGATTCGTGCAGAGCAATCTTGTCGAATGAATCCCACTGGAATAGAACCTTGCTGGTTTCGATATCCACCTCAACGAACCCACCAACCGTGACATAACTCTCTTCCGTTGGGCGTCCGAAATCAGCCAAATTGATGAGCTGGACGCGATATGTGCAAGCCAGGGCAGTCTTCCCACCGTCCATAATGTTGAATTCGTGCATGTTGAAGTCGTGGACATCACTCAGAGCCTGGACCTCTTTTTCCACCTCGTAATGGTGGCTTACAATCGCGCCATGGCCTTTCTTGGAATCATCGAATTCCCATCCCACGATAAACGACAGATGAGGGTCGTTGTCGATATTATACACCGGCTTGAAATCGAAGACATTATGATTGTCGTACAAGGGTGCTCCGGCCCAGATAAGGACCTGTTACCAGAAGGGAGTCAGCTGTTGCTTTTTGAGTTGTTTCGGGAACAGACATACGCCACTGTCGTCGTAAATGTAGGGTCCGACTTGGTATTGCTGATATTTCAGGGTGGGTTGATCTGGGGAGATTTTCCCATATGGCGCAACGAACCAGTAACCGGGGGCCAACCGCTCGCGGTCGTGGTATTCAACCTCCCATTTTAAGGCTCGGACCTCAGGAAGCTGGATTTTGGCTATTAGAACCACGATTCCAACAATGTCAAAGTTCAACCCACCGTCACAAACGACATCAAGTCCGAGTCATGACGCTCTGCAACGGCATTACCTGAGAACAGGAGTAATGCAGCTGCCCAAAGCATGATTAGATTATAAAGAATGGCTAGGAAGCGTAGATTCCTAAATATAATAAAAGAAAGTAAAAAAGAGAATGAATGGGGCGCGACAAAGCTACATAAGAGCCGCTAAACACCACAACATATAGACAGTCGTCGTCAGTGGTATGAGTAAAGAGCGGGGGGCAAACGACAACGCTAGGCAAATAAGAGGATTAAGAGAATAGAAAAGCCATTTAATTAAATTTAAGATCAAAACAACCCGCTGAGAGAAGCCAAAGAGAAGCCAAAGAGAGGAGACAGAGGGCCGCGCCGAGCAACGTAATGAAATGTCTTGGCATTTCCGTCAAGTGGAGCAGACAAGTGCCGTTGTCCTATAACATCGCCAACGCCGTCGGTTGTCGTTCCCACAGCGGAGTTCTTCTCCTCTCGTATATTTTATTTCCGACATCGTGGATATGTATTTAGTCTGCGTTCGCTAGAAGACTGGTATGATGGCGTGGCCTGCATCCCGGAGTCGGTCTACTTTGCCTTAAGTACCATGCAACTGAATTTCTCCGCCCATTGTCACCGATTTGATTGACAGAAGATCATTCAGGGGATGTCTTGGCATTCTATCCGAAGCCGATAAGGATGGACTGGTCAGGGGTTTCTCCTAATTCCGCTACTCCGACCAGAGATTTTATCCAAGTAATTACAGTCTACTACGGAATATAAAATGTACCTTAACCCACGAAAATGCTCTGATCTGTTCTCTGCGTCCCATCTTAGCGCTCCGCGACGCGTACCCTCAATGGGTGGTTCGGCCATGGCATGCTAGTCAACTAGCGCCCGACATAAGCAACGAACCCTCAGGTCCAAGCAGTTCCTTCAGCTGTAGGGCTGGCGGCAGGCCTGCTGACACACATGCTAAAGATCCAGCCGGCATAGATGCCCCGCATGGTATGTTCGGGTCTTGGCGTGGAACGCAGAAGAACACGAACGATTCCAGTCGTGACCCGTGAGATAGGAGTACTTGATCCCTACCTAGATGCTAGTGTAACGGTGGCAGTCTTACTGGCTAAGAAGCGGTGTTATATTTTCTATCACTTGTTTTGCTCGCCCGGAGTCCGTCACATGGACAATAGGACGAGTTGTTGTATGTCGATGGATTCCTTTCGCTTCCTCGGTGGATGTTTCATCTGAATCAACGAATTTATCACCAATTCAAATATGTCGATTGAAAGTTTGTGAGGTGGCTTATATCCACTGGTGGTAAAGGTTAGGTCACCACCTCGACATGACCAGTTGTGCTCATTCGCGTATGGATCCCTTCTCCTAAGGATGTCTTTGCTTCTCTTCCAGCTCTCTTTTGGTATCCGGTTAGGATAAAGAGAGCAAAGAGAAAGAAAAGAGACGGAGAACTTTAAGGCTGTCGGATTGCACGGCGGTGTGCCAAGGAAGGGACAAGAAGAGGGAAGGCGCGATATATTGAAAATCACATGCATTCTTCCCCTTACATAAAAACCTTCAAGGTGTCTGGGTAGCACTATCTTATACTGACTTTCTTGATTCTTCAATCTCGCCATCGCTCTCCGACGCACAGATGAACGCCGAGTATGTCGCCATCAGTCCATACTTCCACGCCACGGCGGAAGGTTCGTTTATTTGTCCGGCGCTGGGGTAGATGATTTGAACGCCGACTATATTCCAGCAGAGATGGGAAAGCATGTTCTCCGCATGCCGCGTGCAAACGGAGGCGATTCCGCCTACGTGCTCATGACAACAGTTTATTCGAACTTCAACGAGTTCCTTCCGCACATCGCTGGCCCCAACGCCTCGGATATATTGGGCGACGTGCGCGGCGTCCATACTTAATTAATGTCAACCTCTGGTTAGTGTGTGCAACGAAGCCCACTGGCGGGGTTATACTCACAAGTTCGTCTTGTACTTTGTACGAACCCCTTGCATGGGCACTGGCTCTTGACATAATCACCCGTGATGGCCCCGGGAGCCCGCAGATCTTTCAAAGTGAGCCATATGCGGATATACTGCGTCACAAATGGAGGCATCGGACCAAAGCTCTACAACAAATCCCGATATCTGTAATGCCCGTCTTAATCGACGAACTTTTAGCTTTTGCATAGTGACCTGGGCAAATACTATATTCCATTACTATGATGTTGTCTATGTATGAGCTATCCCTGCCAAAAACAAGAAAACCACAACAAGCCAAAGATTCTACCAATCCTCAAACCCCATCTCCCAATCAAACCTTCTCAATATCAAACCGCATCTGTATGTAGGGTATATAACGACCTCCCCAGATCACGATCCTCGCAATACGTCTCGTTCCTCGCGGGAAAGCCCCTAGAACCAAATACGCGACACCCTTGGCGAGCCTCGTACCCAGCAGAGCCTGATACTCAGCGGTATTATCCTCCCAGACATGAAGTCTATCATCTGGCCAACCAAGACCGTTCGCTGCGACATAGAGGCTCTTCTGCACAAATAGCATAGTCTCAGGGTTAATAATATTGCACTGGAAGACATACTTCAGGTCCTCCATAGGGTGCTCATCCTGATAGACGGCCTGCGCAATTTGCGCCCAATATGCGGAGTCAGGCCGGAAGCTATCCATGGCGAAAATTACTCCTGGCCCTGTTTGTAACGTGTAGTCATTCACCCAGTACTGTCCGCGCGATACTCCGGACTTCCATAGTACGATCTTGCGGTAGAGCTTCTCGCCGGAAAGACCTAGTTCGACGGTTTCTTCGTAGATTTGGTCGGGTGGGAAGTGTCGTTTTTGGTGCCGGATTCCCCATCTCGCTTCTTCCATGTTTTGCATTGTGAGCTGGGAGGGGGCAATTGGACAGTTTTGGTTGGGGTCTCTTATCCACGAAGCCCTCAGGGCCCCTGTCGTTTGAAGCCTGTCATACTTCAATGGTGGAGGCTGTTCCCCCGGTGGTTGGGTAGTAATCGTGTCGGGCATGACTAATGAGTGGATAATTTATCAAAATGCTTGATTGAGTACTGCACTTTTGAATTTTGGGCTTGCAATTTGCTGCTGAATGTGGGGCGGGAAAGAATATGGACTGTCACGTCGTTGATATACCTTTTTTCTAGTCTACGACCAGGGAAAACATATGCCAACCCCGGCATCTTACTACAAGAGGAAAATGAATGGAACAATGAAAATCAGATGTCACCAGTAGAAACCGAAAGGCACATAAAGAATGGCGAGATAATGTAGACAAGATTGTCTTGGAACATAAAGGGTATCGTGGAGCCATCCGACACTGCGATAATCTGCAGATTCAAAGATGTGATAAAGAGATTGTCGATAAGGACTAGAATGAATGGAATCTATATACTAGCCTATGAACATTATAGACATGGATAGTAAGAGATTGTGGGCGCTCATTGTTGTTCTAGGGGCCCTAACTATCAATAAACCCCACAACGTCAACTATGCCATGGTTATTCCTTTTATGCCAACCACATATTCCTAGTCATTCAGATGCACTTCTGTTTTGCTTTGTTAGAGTGATCGGATTATGAGCGACTCGATGACCATGTTGATCGGTGTAGATGACCTATAACGTGCACGGATTAGCCACGACGTGGGAACTGGTCTCGCTGAGGACTTGCCTTAGGGTAGCTGGCCACACCTTCTTGTTGGGCACTAGCTTGATCTTTGACGATCATTTCGACCTACTTACGGGTCAATTGTGCCGTAGGACTTGAGCACAAACGAAAGATTCGTTATGGGAATCCTACCTTGCCCTCATGTGACCCGCCTCTGTACTTGGTGTAGACGAAGTCACCTTCAGTGATATCGTTGCCGTTCTTGTCCTGTATCTCCTCGACTGACATAATCACAATCTTGTTGAGACCTAAAGATGGCACGAGGAGCCACAGAGGTTGTCCATCACCAGGTTGCCTTTTACCCTTGCTTTACCTGATGGGTATGATGTGATACTTGCACCATCGGTGATGTCATGGCAGCATACTGAAACATCGCCAGCAAAGTCGGAGTTTTTATTATTTCGGACTCTGGAAGGTATCATCGTGATCAATAGTGGTTGATACGCCCGGGCCGTAGATAGCATCGTCGACGCTACGTGGTCGATGAGGCTCAAAGGGAGGACCCTGTCACCTGCCGTAACAGGGTGACAGGGGTAAAATCTAGTTGGCTACATCCAGGTGCCAGATAACACTATAATTCCTGCAGATATAAGATTGTAGGCGGATATATCCGACGAGAGATAGGGTTGCAACGCTTGCAACGCAGAGCAGAATACCTAGATTAGGGTATTGGATCGGATAGATGTTTCAGATTCAGATTGCTAAGAGGGGGGAAAAGGGCTAGAATAAGCTGAAGATGTGTTTTCCAGGGGGAAAATGCAAGAAGGAGAGGCGAGTTAAGTAGAGGATTTAGTTCCACATGTAACCGTCCCCCACCCCCCAGTTGAGCCGACTACCACCGTTGCACTCAAGGGGGTCATTGAGTATGTATGGGTACATTGGGAATGCCTGTGCTCGTATTCTATTCTATTATTTGGCATATTAGCAATGATTGGAAATACTTACTCTATCTGCGTATATTCAGCCGTAGAGGAAGTAGTATAACTCATCTATTAATACTATTACACTACTCTGGTTCTCCTATAAAATACACAATATAGTCACAATGTAACTCCACTTCACTCCACCACCCCGACTACAGTTACGACGGGTATGATATATATGATATTAGGATATATAGACTGGATAGAAATGGTACAAGATAGCTTTCCTTAATAGGCCTTTTAATATGACTCTAGTATAAGCACAATCCCATAGATTAAACCCCAGCTATCTACAACATATAAATTACCGTTACAGTACCATACCCAGTGGATTGCGACACCGCAAGGGCTTCCTTTTCCCAAACAGTTGCACTCGCGGTGACACTGTCAACTCAAGAATGGGCCAATGTTGATCCATGCTTTGGGTCAACACCCTTATTTTCTCTCTTCTCTTCTCTTCTGCCTTCTCCTTTCCACTTTCTCCCGGTGGGGATTATTGCGTCCACACTCCCACCGATCCACTCAAGACACAACTCCAGTGGGAGTGTCACATCGGCTTGGCCCCCCAACCTTCTTAACGTTATAACTTCAGGGCTTTCTTCTTCTATCTCATTTGCTTCATGATCCTCTATACTTCATTATAGTGAACATCCATCCCTCGCCCCCGGTTCGCGACCCCGCCTCTCCTCCATCTTCCTTCCCCGACTATGTCGGCGCCACTGGTCAAGGTGCTACACCGATTGCAAGAGTTGTTCCATAACGTGGTCACCGCACTCGAAACCATGATCCTATTCCCCTCGCTCTTCCGCGGCCTTTCGCGACGCCGCCGAAAGACTTTCCTCGGCGCCCATTGGAAACGCCGCAGCCTAGACAACTTCGCCGAAGAAGTAGAGACCTCGTGCTCAACGCCGCTGTCAACACACAACATGGTCGACATGTCCGAGAAGATCCGTGCACAGATCCGAGAATGTTTACAAACTAGCCCATGCTGCATGCTTCCATCCTACGATACCGCGCTTCCCGCTGGCTCGGAAAAGGGCACATATCTGGCATTGGACGTGGGCGGATCGACGTTTCGCGTAGCTTTGATTGAGTTGAATGGCCGGGATGAGGAGCTGCGCATCTTGAAAGTATCCTCTATATACATCGACGAACAACTCAAGATGCTGGAAGGGACACAATTTTTCGACTGGATGGCAGGGCAGATTGAGACTGTCCTGCAAGAAGTTGGAACAGACTACGGGCGTGGCGACGTACCGCTGGTGGTGGGTTTGTCCTGGTCTTTCCCCATTGAACAGACCTCGCACAGCAGCGGATTGGTGCTCCCCATGGGTAAGGGATTCAAAGCCTCCAATGGCACTGTAGGCAAGGAACTGGGTGATATCCTTATCCAGTCATGCCGCAAGCGCAATCTGAACGTAGAGGTTGCCGCTATCCTGAACGACAGCTCGGCGGCTCTACTCTCGCGTGCCTACGTCGATCCCAAGACCCGTATGTCTCTCATTTTGGGTACCGGTACCAACATGGCGATTCACTTCCCGGTGCACGAGATTGGAATGTCCAAGTTTGGAGTCCGTCCCGAGGGCTGGTTCGACCACGCCAAGCATGTTCTGATCAACACAGAGATGAGTATGTTTGGCGGAGGCGTGCTGCCTATGACACGGTGGGATGACATACTGAACCGCGCCCATCTGCGTCCCGACTACCAGCCGCTCGAGTACATGATTACAGGTCGATACCTGGGCGAGATTGTGCGTTTGATCATCGTCGAGGCTACCGAGAGCGCCCGTCTGTTCGGCGGCGAGTTACCACACTCCATGCGTGAACCCTATTCATTCGACACAAGCATCGTCGCATGCCTCGAGGAGGACTCCTCTGCCTCCCTTTCCACCGCCGCCGCCCTCCTGCAAAAGCAGCATACCTTCCACAAACAACCCTCCGTCGAGGATCTGCGATTCCTGCGTCGCATCTCCCAGACAGTCTCTCGCCGTGCCGCTGGCTACCTGGCGACAGCCATCCACAGTATGTGGTGCCTCCGCAACGAGGTGGAATTCCCCGCGACCCCATCCACCGTCGACTCTCTCGATAAGGAATCACCCGCAATCACCGTCATCGAAAATGGAGACTCGGATAAGAGCCTTTCCATCGCTTGCGACGGCGCTGTCATCAACAAGTATCCTGGCTTCCGCGGCGCCTGCCAGAACTATCTAAATGAGTTGGCGGAGGCAACCTATCCGGGCGCCGGATGCTCCATTCGCCTCAACCCTGCGCCTGAAAGTGCCATTCTCGGCGCGGCAGTCGCAGTGGCTGTGTCCGTTGCTGGGAACTCCACCCAGCTCTGAATATGTTGGCCGGTATGAGTGATGCATGAATCTTACGCGGAGCATAGATCTCTAGCTGTCTCTTTCGTTGTGATTTTCTTTTTATCCATGTCCATCGGTCCGTCGGCGCATGGTATGCGATGGGTTTCCGTGACCTTTTTGTTTTCTCATCTGCATGGGCATTCCCGGATGGGAGTTGTGGAGAGAGCGTTTTTCTTCCTTGTCTTTCTCAGTCGAATTGTTTAGCATCACCAAGGCGTTTCTGGTTCTTGGAATCCACATGGGTATTTCAATGGGTTTCTCTTGCGCTTTGTTCCTGGAGTTCGGCTTCGTTCTTCCTCTCATTTTTATTAACGGGTTTCATGTTATCTCAAACTCATGGAGGCATGTTTGATTTATCCATTCGTTTCGTCTATTCCCCGAGTTGGTGCATTTTTCTTTACTTCACCTATACGTGAAATCAAGCCTAAAATACCACATGAACTGGCGCTATTATACTCCTGTCATTCCTGTTCTTCTCGGGCTCTTATTGCATACATAGCTGCAAATTTCTACTATGATGTTAGATATCTCATCTCAGTTGCCTTATGTATCTTGTACGTCGTAATAGCTACTGTCGTATAGAGAGAGTATATTCGGCCTGTCTAGCAAGCATATGGAGAAATGGCTTCAAAGTCTCAAATGAAAACAATCTGCAGATAATCAGGACTCAAATGTAAAATATATATCATATCTAACGGCTCGTATACCGCCGCAGCACTCCACGCTATCATCATCTTACTCGGTGCGAGTATAGGCCTGAGATTTGTTGAGGATAATCTCAGCCAAGGCCATCAAACTGCCACCAGACAACAACTCTAGAACCTGCACATTGGCATTAGCCTCACGGGCGATCCAGTTACGGATCTCAATAGCCACCAGCGAGTCAAGACCCAATGAAACCACTGTAATCGAGGGATCCATATCCTCCAAGGAGAGAACAAGAACCTGCGCTAACTTCGCGGCCAGCGCCTCATAGCACACTCTCAAAGCTTCCTCTTTAGATGAGGCAGTCGACAAAGTGACATGCAGCGGCACAGACGGGCCGTCGCATTGTGAGCTGTTGCCCAGTGTCCCCTTGGCGGCCTCGTATAGCACGGTGAACCTCGCATCCTGGACCCAGAAGTTGTTCTCGAGTGAATCCAGTCCCAGTCCTGTGACACACTGCCCAGAGCAGGATCGATCGAGATCACCGGTTAAAGCGGCGGCTATCAACGCCAGGACTTCCGACTCGTCGATGATCTGACAGCTGATATTCTTCATTACCTCCTGGCGCCGCTGGGTGTCGGTATCGGCTAGGTAGCCGACGTCGCTGACTGCAGCAAGGCCGATTGATGTTCCTGGAAGGCCAAGGGATCTGCGGTATTCTATGAATCCATCTAGGAATGCATTTGCTGCGGAATATGCTGCCTGTCCGCGATTGCCGATGATACCGGCTATCGATGAGAGGGCAATGAAGAAATCCAGTGGGGAATTGATCAGCGCGTGATGCAGATTCCAAGCTCCTTCTACCTTGTTGCATGCTACGGCAGAGAAGTCTTCAAGAGACATATTTTCGAAGAGCATATCCTAAGTAGGGTCAGTAATGAAAACAGATAATGTAAATAAGTCATCATAGTAAAAACTCACACGAAGCACCATCGCACCGTGAATAACACCACGTATTGGGGGAAGGTCTTTCATCTCTTCGTTAATCAGAACCTTGACAGACTCACGGCTGCTGACATCGCAAGCCTTGACGATAATTCGCACTCCTAGAGGAGCCAAAGTATCTATCAAAGTTCGAACCTTCCCATTAATCGCGGCTTGACGAGACACAAGAACAATGTTCTTTGCACCCTTCGAGGACATCCACTTGGCCATGCTTCGGCCTAGACCACCAGTACCACCAATCAAGATGTAGGATGCATCGGGTCGTAAGAGAGTGGCACTGGTCTTAGGAGCCACAGCCTGAAAAATGAACGATTAGATCTGAAATTTAATCGCGGATGTGCTTTGTTTACCTTGACTTGGTCACCTTCATGAGGAACCACCACAATCTTACCCATACTCTTGCCGATCTGCAGAGTACGGAATGCCTTCTCGATATCGGAAATTCGATAAATCGAAAGTGGTAGGACGGGATGCACCGATGCGTCACCAATCAACCGACATATATCACCCAGGATGCGCTTCATCAGCTGAGGCTTGGACTTGCCAACCTTGGTGAGATCAACCGACGAGAATGTGACGTTGTGCTCAAAGGGCTGCATGTCAAGGCGAGTATTCTTCGTGATATCAGCCTTGCCGATCTCGACAAACCGTCCGAAAGGTGCAAGACACTCCCAAGTCTCGCGCAAAAGTTCGCCTGCCAGGGAGTTGACGATGACATCCACACCAACATCGCCGGTGGCTCTGCGGATGCTGCGAGCGAAAGATGTATCACGACTATAGAAGATGCGGTCTTCGGGAATACCGTACTGGGTCATTAAGAACTGTTTCTTGTCGAGGCTTCCGATTGTAGTAAAGATGTCTGCACCGATCATCTGCGCTAGCATTATGGCAGCTTGACCGACACCTCCAGCACCGGCGTGGATTAAAACCCGCTCGCCGGCTTGGAGTTGACCTAGGTCAAACAGAGAGTAGTATGCAGTGCAGAATACAACTGGCACTGTGGCTGCAACCTCGAATGACATGTCGGCTGGGATTTCTGCCGCGCTAGTCGCAGCGCATCGTGCATAAGTCGAGAAACCGCCCTCTGGCATGGCCATGACTCTTTGACCGACCTTGAAATTATTCACATTTGAACCTACACTGGAGACAACACCACTACATTCAATTCCAATATAAGGCTGTGCAAGCTGGCCCATGGAGACCACAATGTCTTTGAAGTTAAGACCGCTTGCTTTAACTTGAAGCTCAATTTGGCCCTCGCCTAATGGTAGGGGATTGTCGTCTACAAAGTAGAGGGAATCAAGAGAGCCTTGATTGCCGATCTGGATCTTGAAGCGGCGCCCAGGCTGACTGAACGGTTGGGTTGAGATTGTCATGTCGTGGGTCTCATTGTGGATGAAACTATTGGCAGCATCATCTTCCACTATGCGTTGGACAAATAGCTCCGAGCCCTTGGCCTTGAACTCGAGATCCTTCGTGGGCTGAGTCCCATCGGTGGGCCATAGAGCACTGATGGCTGCCTGGATAGGCTTCTCGGGATATTGGATGTCAGGAGCCAACCCAAGAGTGGCTATTCTAGCCGAGGTCTCGGAGCGCAAGGTACGAGTCAAGCCGACTGTCATTTGAGCATCGGGAGAATCAGTCCGATAGACCCAGAGCACAGTTCTAACATTGAGTAGCGCCTTCTTGAGCCCCTCGAATACATCCTCGGTGAGGTATCGCAGAGAGCTAGCTCCAGTCTGAAGTAGAACAAGGTGCTTTTGAGAGAAGTTCACTTCACCAAAGTTCCGGACGGAAACCTGCCACCCGGATTCGTCGGACAGGGCAATACTCAATTTATCAGCAATACCATCGGATTTACCAAAGTACGTAATGCATAGATCGTGCTTAGGTTTGACGGGATTCCCATTTGTGTGCGCATTGCCTTGGTGCTTTGTATTCCCATTCGTATTTGCGTCTCGGTGGATATAAGTATCGCCGTGAGATTCGGCGGGGCCGTTGCGATCTTGAATATCTTCTTCAACGGCGTTTTCAACCTCGGCCAAGGGATGCCAATTAATCTTATAGCACAGTTTGCGAGTGTCTTCACGGTTAGGGTCTGAATTTCTGAGGGGAGTCATTACCAGGCCATCTATTGTAATAATAGGTTCGGTAGAGCCCTCCTGGGTGGCAAAAAGGTCAAATTTGGTCGGTTCAGGGGAAGGCAAGCTGGGACTGCCACTGCAGTAACCTTTGAGGTATTCACCAGCGGTGGTTGGTACATTGAGACCGACTGTCATACGCTTGATTACTGTAGGCATGTAAAGTGTGTCCAGATCCATTCGGCCCAAGCCCTGGCCAAGAAGGGGCCAAGCAAAATGTAGCAGTCCATCGAGGAATGACGGGTGGACAGTTAAGGGAGGTTCAAATCCCTTCGGCATGACACTGCGGGTATCTCTAACGTGTAGATCGCCAAACGAGTGGTGAGGGCTGGAGTAGCAGTTATCAATATCCTGGAAGATAGGACCGTACCCGGCTCCTAGATCACTAAGAACCTGGTACATGTGGGACATATCGAGGTAATTAGTAGCCGATTTCTGAATTCGGGCAATTTGAGCTTTCGTGTAAGTGGATTGAGTCTCGAACGGGCTCGAGATCACAACTGCCTGCTGCTTTGGATCGGAGCGAACCCGTACTTGGCCAGTACAGTGCTCTGTCCATCCTCGTTTTGAGGTCCATGAGCAGACACGGAACTCATCCCAAAGGTCGGATGATCCACGGGTACCTTCAGCATAGGGGCGGAGAGTAATGGTGGTCTCTGCATCTGTATCATCACTGAGCACAAGCGCTGAACCCACAATGACCTCCCTTAGTTCAAACTGGGAGATTTGGATATCAGCTTGCTTTGCGCGTCGTCGAGCAGCCTCGATGGCCATCACCAACTATTGGACAGCCAGTCAGCATCATTTAGTTATGTGATCATGCATTAAACCTACATAGCCTGCTAAGGGGTAAACGACCATCCCTTGCATCTTGTGGTCTCGGAGATAGGGAATCTCATCTAACCGGATGATGTTCCGCCACGTTGGCTCCAGATCATTTGAGTAATTTGCCAATACTCCCAAGACATCGCTCCTAGCACCATCTCTGACCATATGCTTCTGTGGAATACGGGCAACGTGCCAGTACCGAGTTCCATGTTGCCAAGGGTAGCGAGGCAAGTTACTCAAGAACCACCGGTTTGCCGCTCCGGTCTTGGGAAAGTTCACTGCTGTCATATTGAGCGTAGCGCCTCGCATGTAGGCAGCAGCAGCGGTATTTAAGACGGACTCAGCTGCATCCACCTTACGAAGAATAGTTGGTGTATATGCAATCTTGGAGACCGTGGAACCCAAGCTCTTTAGAGTATCCATGATGGGGCCCTTCATTGTGGAGTGTGGACCGATTTCAATAAGAAGGCTGGGTCGTGTCTCATCGTTCGACACCATCTTGTCAAGAGCGTCAGAGAATAACACCGGTGATGTCAGGTTCGCAATCCAGTACTCTGGACCAAGCTCAAAGGGTTCCGCGAAGCGCCCAAAGACAGAAGAGAAGAATGAGGCTGTCGCCGATGAGAAGTGCCGAATGTTCTCAATCGCAGCTAAGTAGGCCTCGGAAACCTTCTTCATGTGGTCGGAATGGTAGGCAACGTCAATCTTCAATTTTCGGCTGAAAAGTTGTTTATTTTCGACAACCTTTTCGAGTTCACTAATCGTAGATACGTCTCCCGACACAGTCACGCTAGTAGGACTGTTCACGCAAGCGACGGTAGCATATCCAGAGAGGTTCTTTAATATAGGCTGAATAGCCTCGCGACTAGTGCCAATAGCAATCATAGTCCCCTTAAGGGACGGGAACGAGGACTTAAGCAACGAGGTCATTTGCCCCCGCCAGTAAGCTAGAGCCATGGCTCCCTTTAAGTCATAAATCCCCGCAGCGTAGGCTGCACTGATTTCTCCAGAACTATGGCCAACGACTGAACCAGGACGGATTCCCCAGGATTCTAGGAGGTTGACTAGTGCAATTTGAAGTGCTGTGCACGCTGGTTGACTTAGATGAGGGGAGTCAATATCGGAAGCGGTTGCGTCCTTTTCCAACTCTTCGACAAGGGAGAACTCGGCGCCGAGATCTCGTAGGCATTGATCTGCTCGTTTGATGGCCAACTCGTAGACAGGGTATTCGTGCATAAGAGGAACACCCATCTGTGCCCATTGAGCCCCTTGACCAGTGAAGACAAACGAAATTATCGAGGCTCCCAAAACCCTAGAGGGGTTGATCTTCAATTGAGCGAGACGGATACCAAGTTCATCTAGCGAGGTAGCTGACACGCCAACACGGTATGAGAGTTGAGACATCTTGTTGCCTAGGGTATAAGCAAAGTTGCCGAATAGAGTCTTTTCAAAAACTTCGGGATGTTGTTCGAAGTAGATACCGAAGTCTTTGATCCTAGTGCGTAGAGACTCCTTGTCGTTGGCAGAGATCAAGAACAGCTTGCGTTTGGGGTCCACTTCAACATCCTCAACAGCTCGGTCTGGGGCTTTGGATGACAGTGGCGCTTTTTCAAGTACGGCATGTGCATTGGTTCCTCCAAACCCGTAATTGGACACGCTGAGATATTTCTTGCGAGGAGGCCAGGGCCGCGTCATCGTTAAAACTTTCATATTCCAGTCGCTCATAGGAATAGTAGGATTCGCTTTCTTGAACTCGGCGTTTGGAAGCATCAACTCTCTATCAAGCATCATGGCTGCTTTGATGATGGCAATTATACCACTGGCTCCCTCCAAATGCCCAATGTTGGATTTGACTGATCCAATGTAAAGTGGGTTTCTTGGAGTCCGATTCTTTCCAAGTGCTGCATGGACTGCTGCAGCTTCGATGGGATCGCCGGCCTTTGTTCCAGTTCCATGCATCTCTACAAAACCGCATTCGTCCGGGTTGATGTTGGCCTCTTTGTAGACCTGCCGGATTAGCTCTTCCTGGGCCTGGCCGTTCGGCAATGTGATTCCCTGTGTTCGCCCATCCTGGTTGACTCCTGAATGTACAATGACAGCTCGGACGGGATCTTTGTCACGCAAGGCGGCGTCGAGGGGTTTCAAAATTACGACACCAGAGCCCTCGCCTCGCGCAAAACCGGATGTGGCTCTCTCGTCGAAGGAGAAGGTTTTGCCCTCATCATTAAACAACCTATGTGATTCCAGACAGTCAGGTTATATGATCCCGGGCTTGGCTTGGAGGACACGCAAATACATACTGTGACATGGACATCGAAACCCAAATATCTGGTACGATGTTGAGGTGACAACCGGCAACGAGTGCTTCCTTGGATTCTCCGCTTCGCAAGCTCTGTACTGCATAGTGGAGTGCAACAAGTGAGGAAGAACAAGCTGTATCCACTGTGACACTGGGCCCTCGTAGATCGAAGAAGTATGAGATACGGTTGGATTGCAGCGAGGCCGCACAGCCCGTGGCTTGGTGCATAGGGATAGTCTCGGTATCACGGTCATTATTGAGCTCATAATCAGCGAAATTACCACCAGCAAAGACGCTCACGTTCCGGCGAGCAAGATTCTCTTTGGGGATGCCAGCGCTCTCCAGAGCTTCATACGCGCACTCCAGTAACAAGCGCTGTTGAGGGTCCATGGCCGTAGCTTCTTGCACGGTGAGGTTGAAGAAAGGAGCATCGAAACGTGCAATGTCCTCGTCAAGGAAGTAGCCTCCCTTTGGGTTGAAGGAACCAATCTTGGATGAGTTGGGGTGATGGAATGCTTCGACAGAAAAACGGTCTTTGGGGATGGGTGACCAGCCACTTCGAGCTCGGGTGCATAGTTCCCATAGCTCACTAGGAGATGTAACTTGCCCCGGCAGCCGGCAGGCATACCCGATGATGGCGATAGGTTGGAGGGTACCCTCGCCATAAGACGCACCTTCCGAATCAGCACCCTTCATGTTTGTCATGATGAAAAGTGCAGAAGGTGCAACTGTGACGCGAGTCTATATGATTTTGGGGGGCCACATCGACATCGGGGAAATCGGGGAAACCGACTGCCTAGGTCGTTATAGCGTGTTATATAGCTTTGCGAATACCCACCAGCTCTTCTGATACGGGTCATTTTGGGGGTGTACAGCTCCGTGAAGCTGTCTCTACTCCGAGGGCGAGCGATGCTCTGCTAGCATTGGGTGATCGGTGGTTATTCCCGAATTGGTGACTCTGACTGAAATGTTGTACCGTCCCACATTATTCGATATCCCAATTGTTTGTAGTTGGGAAGTTGATGCTCGGCGGAAATCCCGTGCTTTCCCAATCTTTCATTTGCTTTACACGACTTGTACAGCCCGAGCGGTAATTTATTTCCTAGTATATGTTGATTTCTATATTTTCTATATTTTTGCTCGTTGCCTCTCTCTTATTTTACTTCAAGTGTACTGCTTCGGATAATACATTGCTTCCCATAGATCATTACAGACTGATACAAGATGAGGTTCTTATGTCTTCATGGCGCCATTGGCAACATCGACGTAGGTGAACAGAGACACCATAATGGAAATGCATACTGACTTCCTTATCACAGAATATTAATATTCAGCTTGGTAATATCATGTGCATTTGAGGACTCGAAGGGTTAACCGACAATATTGCAGATCCCCTGGTGAAGCAGATGGCCACGGATGGTTTCGCTTCGTTCCACTATATCAACGGTCCTGTTCTTGTGTCTCCACCGGCAGGTACTGTCCTCCTGGCCTCAGACACTGATAAAGCTGATGTTCTGAAATTCATATTTTCCTAGGGTTCACGGAGTATTTCGGTATCGGGCCGCATTACCGGTGGTTGGAGGATGGAGGAGTAGCAGAGAACTCAATGATCTCTCGCGTTCGAAAATCTCCGCATGGTTCGTGTCCCGAAGATGTGATGCGAGCTTTGGGTAACGGTTGGGATGGCCGTTGGATAAACCACCATCAAGTCATGGAATACCTCTATGATACACTGGAGAAGAATCCCGATATCGAAGGCATCATCGGATATAGTGAGGGTGCTACGATGGCTGCGAGTCTAATCCTGGATGAGGATAGAAAGGCTCAGGAGACTGGTCGTCCTCGTCGCATCAGATGCGCGATTTTCATCACCGGCTGGCCTCCTCTTTCCCCTGAGGAAGACGTGGTCCTGGCAGATGAAAGCGACTATACTCTGGACATTCCGACGCTTCACGTGGTTGGTGCAGATGGTAATTCTGACGTCTATTGCCCCGTTCAAACGATATACTCACTGTTTATCTTCGGCACAGACCCCTACCGATACGGCGCATTGGCCTTGTTCAATATTTGTGATCCTGATACCGCAGCGATGTTTGACACTGGACGGGGCCACACCATTCCTCGGTCCGGTCCGGTCATCACAGAGTTGGGAAATGCCGTGCGAGACCTAATCGACAGAGCATATCAAGGATAATTGAGGCCTGTGGTTCATGGGAAGCACGAAGTCTTTCTGTGCGCGGTATGACAGCCAAAGACCCGTTGAAGAATACACAAACTCGGGCTCGAGGCGTTCCAGATTCTGAAAGGCCATATTCTGCAAGATAGTTTAATTTGAACTTGGTATATATAGTAATGCATCCTATATATTTATCCACTCAAGTGTTATCTAGCGTTGCCTCTTGCCCTCTTGATGGAGTAAAGCCTAAGCCGAGTATGGCCTAATTAGGATGATGTGCTACCCACCAGCTTCCCCAAGCGATATTCTCTCCAAAACATGTATTGTCGCAATTGGAAACTTTCCAACTGGATTTTCACTCTCCCAAAGCACCGGTATGGTTCGTCGGGTGTACTACCGGGAACTCTGACTGATAGAGTCAAATCCGAGCTCTAATATCTAGCCAAGGTGAGACGCAAAGCCTGCACGGCAATTAAGCTGTGATATGACAGGCCAAGGCTGTAGATCGTACTTTCAAAATGGATATGGATGTACACTTCGACGTTCCGTATCATCTACCTCACCATCTAACTTGAATATGTACGAGAAAAGGCTTTCATCTTATAACCTACAATTAGAATTTAAAATAACACCAATCACACATAAAAACGACATCAGACCGCGGCCTAGACAACCCTCTGAAGTATCGGTACTACGTAGGCTCGGGGGGTTAATAAAGCAACGGTCAACAAATTCGGGCATTTCCTCATTCAACACCGAAGTCATAAGGAAGGAAAAACAAGCAAAGAAGTTCAAATGGTGGCGTATTCTTCAACAAATCATCAGTGACCTCGGATCTCGAGTGTGGCTTCAAATTCTACAAAATGTACAATATGATCCTACAGATCGTTTGGGCACTGTCAGCTGTCACCCTGATGTTGATACAGACTCACGCGCAGTCTGTGTCAGAGGATAAATGTGCAACGGGCGTTCATGCTATTATCGCTAGGGGGCAAGGCGGAGGCGATGATCTGAATGTAATGAGCACTCTTTCAGACCTGATCCTGAAGCAGATCCCCGGCTCGACAACCCTCGGCTTACCCTACGATCATGAAAACGTCTTAACTAATTTGGACAAACTGTATACTGTTCACGACGGTACGCTTCTGATGCAGCAGTTTGTGCAGGAGTACAGTGAAAGCTGCCCCCAAACTAAGATCGTGGTAGTTGGATATTCAATGGTGACATCTGTCCTCGTATTATGGCAATCAAACATGCAAAATGCTAAGGCTCACTACCACCTAGGGAGCAGTTATCATGATGGATTCTCTGTGCGGAACCAGTGAAGTCGGAGTCCTCTTCGTCGCCCCTCTTGCGCGGACCTATAACTCGACTAGTACGTCATGTCGAGGCTGTCAGAAAACACGAGTCTGATCAGATATCTAGTCATAGCTGCGATTGCGTATGGTGATGAGACATACTTTCCTGGTATGCCGTGGAATGTGGGCAATTGCACACTGGGTATAGGCGTGAGTACCAGCTCATATTCAAGTGCTGAATTATCATCTAAAGCAGATGTATCAGCTTCTTCCTCGGCTAAACCCAGCCTTATGTGGACCATTTACTAGTTCAATTCACAGCTATTGTGATTACGGTGATGAGCAATGCTGCTCGCCATACCCCGAAGACGGAAATGCCGCACACCACGGCTACATATGGAAATACAATCAGGACGTTGTGGACTTCATCAAACATCGTCTGGCCACGATTGATTAGTGATGATGTCCGCTCAATAATGGACACTACCAATAATAGGAGGTAGAAGAGAAAGATATGTCGCTTATAGCAGTTGAAAATCTTCCTGCGGACTTGGCTGCTTTCCGAACTATGCTATTACCGGCATTCTTAGTGTGTAGCTCGAAACTTCAAAGGATTCCACAATATACGTACTAGCCGACGTCAAATTCCACCAATCAAGTTTATAGAAACCACTTGATAATATGAGATTGACAGGTCAGAATTTATCTCTAGCATTTGTGAGTCCTCCTTTCAATGTTAACTACTAAAGTGCAGACGTACATACGCGGTGAATCCTGAAAATATATCTCGGCGTGTTTCTTAGACCTGGGTTGGCACAGCCGCTCGTCCGTAACCCAATCATAATTATAGTATACCGCTAAGACTGCACAGGTTTAAAATATCTTAAACAAAGGGATACTACCCCGGATGCTAAAAAGTGGGTGGTACCAAAAGTTGGGGGACAGAGAGCATTTTGTTTCAGAACATACCCTTTACCTAGGGTGGGTAACATAGCGAACAGCCTCGAACTATGAGTACCAGGTTGTTGTTCTATGCAAAAGCTGAACCTTGGTGTCACATATGTAACTCACTACTCCGTACTATGTAAGTACTAAGATGATGAGGGGTTCGGATCCGAGTTTCATACTGTTCTGGACCTAATTCAAATTCACCTTGTTCCTCTATTGTACGACATGTACTTGAATATAGGAGGAGCTCAATGATCTAGTATTCTATTGGCATGTATGGATATAAACAGTTGTTATCATTATTACCTAATATCACTGCTGCCCAGATCCATGAAGCCGAAGCGTACCGCATCGAGGTATACAGATCAGCTAATCCCGTTTCGGCGATCCCAACTCCTTTTTGATTTTCCCTCCTCAACAACCACAGGCCTCCCTCTTTCTCTATGTTCTCTCTAGCCCGTCAATTCTCCGGAGTCCGCTCCAAGCCTCTCGTCCTTACCAGCCAGAAATTCACCCGATCGACTCAGGTACCCCACCGCCTGTACTCGAATCCTCCAAGATCTTCGCCGCCACGCGCACCCTCCGCCCCTCAATCCAGCCGCTCCAATTTCCCAATCATCCCCATCATCATCATAACCGCCATCAGCTCCGGCGCCTACGTCTACCTCGTCAAGTCCCGCACCGGCGTCCGCACCTCACGTCCAAACTAGCTTGAAGTAAGTCCAGGAGGCCTAGCGTACATTTAAGAAAAAGCCAACTAACGTCCGTTTCCAGTCAAGCCACACCGACACAATCACCCCACAAGCAACCTCGACTCGAACCCCAGTCCTAAACCCCCTTTAACTTCATCCCCATCTCCCTCAACCCCCCTCCCAACCAAACAAGCAACCAACCACCCACAATGGCCACCCCCCGCTTCTCCACAAACGACGTAACAGTCGTCTTCTTCCTCGGCGGCCCAGGCAGCGGGAAGGGCACACAATCCGCCAACCTCGTCAAGGACTACGGCTTCGTGCACCTGTCCGCCGGCGACCTCCTGCGCGCCGAGCAAGTCCGCGAAGGCAGCCAGTACGGCGACCTGATCCGCGAGTACATCCGCGAAGGCAAGATCGTGCCGATGCAAGTCACCGTTGCGTTGCTGTCGAATGCCATGGCCGACTCGCTGGCGACCTCGCCGCCTCCGGCTGGCACCAAGGCCCGCTTCTTGGTCGATGGGTTCCCACGCAAGCTCGACCAGGCTGTGTTCTTCGAGGAGACTGTTTGCCCCTCCGAGCTTGTGTTGTTCCTTGATTGCCCTGAGGATGTCATGGAGGCTAGACTTCTGAAGCGTGGTGAGACTAGTGGCCGTGATGATGATAATGCGGCTTCTATTCGCAAGCGCTTCCACACTTTTGTTGAGACTTCTATGCCTGTCGTTGATGATTTCGAGAAGAAGAATAAGGTTGTTTCGGTCAAGGCTGATAGCTCTGTTGAGCAGGTCTATGAGCAGGTTAAGGCCGGTATTGAGGCTCGTGGTTTGCACACTCGCTAAGCGGGATTCTTGTGTTTGTATCGATGTATATAGTGTTGGTGTCCCTTTAGGGGGAAGAGTTGTGTGATTTCTCTGCTCGTGTTGAATATAGAGTATAGAAAGCATTTTTAGACTTGAACCTGAAGCCAATGAAGTTGTCAGTTGACTACGGATATGAACCATGACCAGTCTAAAGAAATATAATATTCTTTAAGCCGGAATAGAAAAAAATGAACAAAAGGAAAGTCATTCCTCCGGAAAACATAAACAAGACTAAGATTGACATGACATGACTCGTGGGGTCCCAAACATCCAACGGGGGCAGTAAAAACCCAACCCTACAACTGGCCAGGGAAAAAGAAATGCATGAGGAAAAGACAGCAAGATTTCCCCTCTATTAACTGAAAGATTTTTGTGTTCTGTGAACTTTTCCATTTATAAAAAAAGGACACAACTATTCGGCACTAGCCTCAACCTCACGCGTCGGCTGCGAGAGTTGAATGCGTCGGCGGTCACCGTTACCATTGCGATTGGCGTTGGCTTCTTGGTCAGCCGCGGCCTGGATACCCTCACGGGCGAAACGCTCACGCTCGGTGCGGATCACGTTCAGAACGCTCTCGAGGGAACGGCGCCAGACCATCAGGCGGCCTTGGACCTCGGACCACTGCTTCTCACCGAAGACGCGGTAGGTGGCACGGTGCACAAGGAACTCGGACTTCAGCTGGGACAGTCTGCCCTCGACGAGGCCGGCACGAATGGTGTCGATGACCCACATCTCGACATCGGAGGCGGGGACGCGTAGAGCAGACGCGATAGTGGCGTAGGGAAGCGAGCGCGAAGGGGTGGAGGATGCCAGAGAGGTGAGAGTGAGGAGACGCATCTTGGTCTGCAGGGCATCGGCGGACTCGGCGAGCACGCCGCCAGAGATGGAAGCGAGCGGGGTGGCAGCGATGAAGGTCTCGTAGGCATCGAGGGTGTCCGAGGTGAAGATCTCGAGCAACTCGAAGAGGGTGCTGTCGCTGGAGCGCAGGGCCTGCACGGCGTCTGAAGCGGTCAAGGGAGTGAAGTCGAAGACAGTAGAGCGACGCAGAGCGGTAGCGAGAGCGCGCACAGCCAACTCGCGGGCTTCGGGCTTGCTGACGTCGGCAGGGTCGATGGTCTCAAGCGCTTGCATGATGTGAGTCTGGGCCAAATCCTCATCGCCGGCAGCGGTAGAGGCCTCGGCAATGGCGATGTGCAACTTCCGGGTATCATCGTTATCCAAACCCCACGCTGAGAGCCATGTGGGAAGCTGGGAAGTGAGCTGAGGCTTGAGGGCCTCGAAGGCAATTCCAGATCCAGACTGGCGGATCACTGCTACAACAGCGAGGAGAACGTGGTACCGGCTCGAGTCGTTGGCAGACAGAGTGTTGAAGATGGTGGTGAGAATGGAGATGGCGAGCGTAGGGCCGAACTGAGGGGAGGTGGTGATGGGCTTAGCGAGATAGGCGCAGATGCGAGGAAGGAACACGTCGGTGTCGGAAGACTGGTGAACGAGGTGGATCAGGAGGTTGTAGGCGGAGGTGATCTCTGCATTTATGTCAAGCTATGTCAGTTTTTGTCCATCAAAGATCCAAGTGCCAAATTCCCGACTCTGTCTGCAGATCATTCTTTGACACTTTTTGTCCACTCACCCTTCTCGGGGGCACTGTTCAGAGCGGTCGCAGACGACACGAGCTTCTTCAGGACTTCATCACGCTGCTTAAGGTCGGCCTCGCCTTCAGACTGTTCCTGCTGGCGGAGAGGTTCGAGGAGCGGGGCGATCTCGGACTGGAGGCTACCCTCTTTGCGGAGGGCATCGATGTACTGGGCAAACTCGTCGGCGAGCTCGGTGAAGGAACCCTCAATGAGGAGGGTGTTGGTAGGGGCGGGCATGATGTTTGATGTGGGAAAGGGAGAGGAAGAGCGAACGTGAAGTTCTTGATGGTGGAGTCTATCGATAAGTTGAGAAATTTCAGTGTGTGCCAGAAAAAGTCTTGGCGAGAGGAACACCCCAAAACATCTCGACTGATGTGTGCCTTTTGACTCTTTTACTTGATTTGGAATGTTTTATGTAGGTGAAATAACAAATATTTACACTGCAATCGTCACTACTCTCATTCTGCTGTCCAATGGGTTGGAAATAATTGGTGATATTACTTTGAATCGAATAGTTAATGCGCGAAATCGGCACCGGCGCAGACAAAAAATGAACTCCGACCCAAAGCAAAACAAGAAAGGACAGGCGCCGCGTTCATAAACATGCGGACGATCGTAATGTGTCAAGCCTATTCAGAGGGGAATCGAATGTCTCGAAGGAAAAAAAAGCAAATGGCAACGCGATGAGTTAAGGGAATACAACAAAGAGGACGCTATGCGACCTAACCATCAAGTGGTAATTAACTGCCCAAAGACCGAAGAATATCGTCCCTTTACAGGATCATGCGTGCAGCAACGAACATGAGACCAGCCATCAGACCAGTGGAGTACTGGGTCAGATCACCGAGAGCAACAGCAGCGTTGGTGGTAGTGCTGGCAGCAGCGACGGAGGAAGTGGCAGTGGTGGAAGAATCGGTCGTAGTGGCCAATGCCAGAGTGGTCGTAGCGCTGGCCGAAGTCGCAGCAGCAGAAGAGGTGGTGGTCACCGCACTTGCGTTCTTGGAGCCACAGTCGGCCGATGCCTTCTTGCAGGCGCGCTGGCCCTCAGCATCGTTGGGGTGCGAGTTGATGCACTGGCCGTAAGTAGCCTGGCAGACGTAGAAAGGAACGGTCTGAATGTAGGAGGTCACATTTGGGGTTGAACCATCGCTGCAGACACAGCTGAACTTCAGGGTGGTCTGTTCAAAGCGTTAATCTCCCGGTCGTATGGACGCGATACACAACAACATACCGGGTCGCAAGAGTTCAGCTTGGTACCACTTGGGCAAAGATCGGGGCAGGTGTTGCGCTGAGCAGAGCACCAGGAGCCTACTTCATTAGCG